ATTGGGAACCACAACAAGCCGATTTTCCAGACAGTTAGACATGGACCTGGTGGCACAGTTATATCTAGAGTGATTTTCCTAACACTTTATATTTTCTGGAAATTTCTGCAGTCTGAGAAAAAGCTGCAAGGATCCTGCTGAATATGGGATCATACTCTACCCAGCCTACTTAGGCTGCATTAATTACCAATTTGTCTCCTGATACAACTCAAATTATTGTCCAGGTCCTTTAAATCTCAAAATGGCACCAATACTTTATATCTTAAAAGATGGTTTCCACATCATATCTCTGATGAAGACTAAAAAATGAAAGGGGAAAAGGGGGGGGGGGGACTTTTTAATTCAAAATTAACCAATATGCACATGTGAAATAAATCAATCAGAACTGGTAAACATTGAAGAAACAAACAATAACATTTTGAATCTTCTAGAGACCACGAGAAGCTGCTATTAGGGTAGAACACGGAGAAAGAGAATGGTTTCCAATTGGCAAGAAAGTCAGACAAGGTTGCATTTTATCACCCTATCTGTTTAACTTTTATACTGAATAGATCATATGTAAAGCTGGATTAGACTTGGAAGAAGGAGGCATTATAATTGGAGTAATTAACACCAGCAGTTTAAAGTATTTGGATAACACCATAACACTAGCAGAAGAATAACAAAAAATTGGAATGACTACTGAAGAACATCAAGGAAGAAAATACAAAGATAGATTTAGAGTTTAAAATTAAGGAAACAAAAATAATGACTAAAATATATTCAAATAATTTTAAAGTAGCTGAGGAAAACATTGAAATAGTTCAAGATTTTCCATACCTTGTCTCAATCATTTATCAGAATGGAGACTGCAAACAACAAATCAGAAGAAAATTAAGATTTGGAAGGGCAGCGATAAAGGAACTAGATAAGATCCTGAGATATAAGGGTTTTTCATTACATATTAAAAGTTAGAATGATCCATGCCATTCTATTTCCATTTTCCAGTTATGGTTGTTAAAATCGAAGAGTGAATAATGCTGATACAAAGAATATCAACTCATTTGAAAAATGTTGCTGGAGAGTTGTTCTATGGAAACCGCAGACAGATAAAAAGATAAATAAATGGGTTTTAGAGCAAATCAAGTCTGAACTAGAAGGCAAGATGACTAAACTCTGACTGTTGTATTTTGGACATATAATGAGAAGACATGACTTACTAGAAAACACAATAATTCTTGGTATGGTAGAAGGCAACAGGAAAAGAGGAAGATAGCTTTGCAGTTGGAGAGACTTGAGTCAAAGAGGCCATAGCTCTGAGTATGCAAGTCTTGAGCAGGGTTGTTGACGGTGATAGGGTGACTTGGAGGTCTCCCATTCATAGATTTGCTATTCATCAAAGTCAACTTGAAGATAATTAACAACAAGAATTCATGAGCAACTACAACATATTTTTAAAAGACTTTTGGCTCATACATGCGCAATCGGCACCAAAGCAATCCAAACAGAGGGAAACCAAATCCATCAGTTTCCCCCTGTTTGATGAGATTTCTTTAAACACATGCAGAGGCACACAAAACAGGCCTTCAGTTCTGCTCATTCTTGTGTATATATATTTGAAATCCTGGTTTTCCTGGCAAAAAAGGTGAATCACTCCTGCATCCTTTTTTAATATCTACCAAGCGGATAGAACACACCCTCAATATAATGACCTCATTTGGCTTGTCTTTCGATGAATGTCTCTTTCACCCATCCCACTTCCTTTATGGTCACTAGTTATTTGGCTTTTGTGTAAATAGCTCAGAATTTACTCAGCATTGAGCACCTGAGTCTGGGTCTTTCTCCCACCCCTTTTATGGCAAAGCTAACGAAATTGTTTCCCAGTTCAAGCTGACACACTTTTGTTCCATGATTGGAAGCAGTTGTGGTAATTCATGTAATCCTCCTTTTTACCAGTAGACTTGCCATCCTAAGTTATTATTTATTTAAGTTCATTTGGGAGCAATGCATACTGATGATACAAGCCTGCGGCGACACTTTATTCTCATTTAAACACAGAATCCTTGTCTGTTACTACATTCTCCAAATGAAGGGACAGCGAGGCCAGTTTATACAGAGAGCTGCCACTTTCATGAGCTGAGCATCCATTAAAAAAAGATTTTCAGCTTCCAACTGCCAGTTATCTAAAAAAGACATTTTCTAATTTAACAGTTTCCTGTGTATCTGTGTTATGTTTTTTCTGGGAACTGCAGGGATGGCAGCCAGCAGCCTAAGTCATTTCCTGATTTCTTCCTTCTGGCCTGGATTAGACTTGCCATGACCAACAGTTCCTAAATCCTTTCAGAGCAGTAGCATGTCACGGGATTTTTCCTTACCAGCTTTTTAATTGCTCTGCAAAAACCAAACAGGCAAAGTCTATACCAAGTGCTCCCATTACCTACAACTTTGACAGAGGCAATGAGTGGCAGGATGTAAACAAATTTTGCTTCAATAATCAAATAGTAATGTTACTAGCCAGAGTGCGTTTCTAGCAGATTGATCTACAGACATTCCAGTTAGTAAAGTATCTGCCAAAGAATGTCCTTTTTTACATTTTTTTATTCCTGCTCTGTCTCCATTTCCTCCTTATCCCTTTTGTAGTTTGAAGGTTGCTTTCTTTAGCAGCATAAAGAGAAGGTGGTGGCAGTGGGTTATACAAACATAGACTTTCAGTATCACATTGTAGCCACACACAATACAATAGATCCTAACCCAGAAAAGAATGGGATTGGTGGTGATGATGATGATGATGATGATGATGATGATGATGATGATTTATTTTAAACCCACCCCATCTCTCAACAAGGGATTCTGTTCTAGATTATCATAGTGCAGCTCTCTGTGGTTGCTTGCAATAGGCAAGGTAAATAGCAGATACTGCCAGAATTCCTTCCTAAGTAGACAGGAACAGCAGAACAAAAGTAGAAACAGATACGCTTTCCTTACCAGCTACACCTAGCATGTTTAAAAGGCCTTGGATACCAAAATGGAAATCATAAGAAAAGTAGAGGCTGGTGAAAGAAAGAGACAGTACTCCCTCGTTGTGCTTTGAAGAAGACTTCATTTGGTGGATAGCTCACTTTAAGACTGCCAAAGATCCCGTAGCTCCTCCAAAACAAACAAACAAACAAACAAAAATTCTAAAATAATTCCATGAGCAATTCTATTCAAAGTGGTTGTCCCTGGAGTGATGTTGGTCCGTGCATAGCCATCAATCCTTGGCATGTCTCCAGGAATTTCCAGGAAAATTTAAATGCATTACTAGTCACACATAAATTGGAGGAATAAAAGCCATTCCCTTCTCCACAATCAGATAGCTTAAGAAGCACTATGGTAGGAGGTAGGATTGATTTAAACATGAGGTTTTTTTTCTGGGAGTGGCTTAGTTGACTTCTAGTTGATTTCCTGATTTTAGTAAAACCTTTATAGGTTTAAAACTTAAAATATGGTGAAATTCCCCTCATATACCCAGAGTGTGCGGAAAACATTTAAATCGAAATTGAAATCCACAAGCATGTGGACAATTTCAACAGAAAGGAAGAGACCATGAAAATGAATAAAATCTGGCTACCAGTATTAAAAAACTCTAAAATTACAACAGCAAAACAACAGAGAGGAAACAACCAGGCACAGATTAACACCTCCCAGCAAGAGATTTTCCCAGGCTCAGGCAGGCCTTCAAATGCTAATGAAGGTGATCAGCTGAAACATTCACACCTAACTGCAGCAGGGAAGAGCTCCTTGCCCCACCCCAGCCATTCCACAGATATATAAACCCATTGTCCTAATTCCAACAGACCTCACTACCTCTGAGGATGCTTGCCATAGATGCAGGCGAAACGTCAGGAGAAATGCCTCTAGAACATGGCTCTATAGCCCGAAAAAACCCACAAGAACCTAACATTTAAATCGATTTTTTAAAGTATTTTACAATATTTACAATGTATATGAATGGGGCAATGAGATGATTCAGAAGATTTTTTGTCATTATGGGATATACTAAGATAAAATGCTGGTACTTTTTTGTAATAAGAAGGTATGAGGCATGAGGACTCACCGGATTTGTTTAGCTTCTCCCAGCACAAAAATGGTAAACTGTGGTGACCTAAAATTTTGCTTTCTTAGAAAATAATAGACATGCTTGAAATGATTTGGGTAGTTCTGTATGTTAGAACGGGTCAGCTCTAAACACGTGTAAAGTTGAATTCTGCTTGTCCATATTTTAACTCTCTACTATCCCTGCTTCAAATTGATTTCCTTTTCAGCTGAGCTTAGGAAGTTAGTTTGGCTGGGAGGAAAAAGGTTAGTTTGGCTGGCAAAACTAGCAGGTCAGTAGGAGAGTCTCATTTTTAGGTGGTGGGTAATGGTAGCTTTCTTACAAGCACTCTTTAGATCTGTGTAAACTCTCACATTTTTATGCACCAAGCTTATGTTTGTTTATTATTTATTTATTTATTTATTTATTTATTTATTTACAGTTCTTATATTCCGCCCTTCTCACCCCGCAGGGGACTCAGGGTGGATTACAGTAAACACATATATGGCAAACATTCAATGCCAGTTTGACAAACAACATTTAACAGACAAATACACCGAGGCTATTTAACTTTTTTCTGGCCGCCAGGGGAGCTGCTGCTTTCCATCGTCCATCAACGACACCGATGAAGTTCTTCCGCATTCCACATTCCCCGGAGTCTTTTTTCTTTATGGCCTCATAAATTAGTTAAATTTAGCCTCCCACACAAGGTGGTACCTTATTTTCCTACTTGACAGATGCAACTGTCTTTCGGGTTGCAAAGGTCGACAACGGGCTACACAATGGCTGGACACCCACTCCAGCCCGGGCTGGCTTCGAACTCATGACCTTTTGGTCAGAGTGATCTTAATGCAGCTGACACTCAGCCAGCTGCGCCACAATCCCGGTGTTTACTTATATACCAAATTATCTCATGAACTGAAGCTGAGTTTTCTAATTTGAACAGGCTGTCCAAAAGGAACCTATGGGCCATACTGCCAGAAAACATGCCAATGTCTGAACGGAGGGCATTGCAATGCGGTGACAGGAGCCTGTGATTGCCCCCCAGGATTCATTGGAGCAGACTGTGGTAAAAGTAAGTGTGTGCAAACATAATAACCTACTGGCCCATGCTAAATGAAAGCTTCTATAGTCCAGCATCTTGTTCCTTGCAAAGGACAGCCAGATGCCTTCTATGCGGGACCATATGCAGAACATAAGGATGTTAGCTCCCAGAAAGTTAAGTAAAGATAAATATTTTCCTCTGACATTAAGTCGAGTCTTGTCTGACTCAGGGGTTGGTGCTCATCTCCATTTCTAAGCCAAAGAGCCAGTGTTGTCCATAGACACCTCCAAGGTCATGTGGCCAGCATGTCTTCATGGAGCGCTGTTACCCCCAGAAAGATAATGACTATTAAAAACTGGCACTTAGTTTTACTTTCCAAAGAAAATTCTACATATAAATTGCCATCTACAAGACAGAGGTTTCATCCAGGATTTCCTCTTACAGTACATTAGATATCAGTATCCCCTCTTGAGGCCATTCTTCTCCCAGGAATAATCAAGTTTTTCAACCCAAATAGAGTAGCTCTTCATTTGAAACAAGAACATATTTATTCTACAGTCTTGTTGGTGAAGGTCATGCGGAAGAAACAGTGTCGTACCATAACAGTTTCAAACAGATGATGAATATACTGGTTCAAATCCCCTTTCATCTTACTCAGGTAATTTGGAACAAGTCATCATCAGACAAATGGCTTGGCATCTTTTTCTTGGCAACATTTAAAAAAAAATGCAAGCAGAAGCACGGATCCTCAAATGTTAAGGGAGCTTTTGGATTCAACTTCCATAAATGTCTGTTAAATTGTATCATGTTTTCTTTTAGATTGTCCAGAACATCAGTATGGAAAGGACTGTAGCTCATTCTGCTTCTGTGGCACAGGACATTGTGATCCAGTGACAGGCAAATGCTCCTGTCCATCTGGCCAGATGGGACCAAATTGCCTTCAGGGTAAGATAAGTCCAGCTATTCACTTATATCATTTAGAAAAAAGTTAGTTAGATTTTTAAAAATATTGTATGGCTTTTATTCATAGTCACTTTAAAAGGATTGGCTATAATTTCTAACCCTGCAAAGCAGAGATTGCAGAAGCATTAATGCTGCCAATGAATATCCTGCATGGAAAGATGGAATATTGAATGAATTAATGAATTAATTAATGAATGAACAAACTTCTCTCCTGGTCTTATCAATCATCTCTTTCTCTCCTTACTTGTTGTCACCACCTCACTCACCTCAGGTCCTTGCCCAAAATCACTATGGTGGTTTCATAAATAATTTTAAAATTATCTCGGATAGCATATTTCAGCACACACATAAAACCCTCATCACCCTTAAACTAGATCAAGTGAGCCAACTGAATCTGATTTACAATTCAGATTTGTGGTTTCCCGGACCAGTGTAACATAGTGGCTAACATGTTGGATTTGGACTAGAAAATCCAGGTTTCAATTTTCTGTGTGGTATCTGCTATCTCTCAAATTAACATACTTGATAGGATTCTTGTGATAACAAAATGGGAAAGTGGCGAACTATATACATGTCACGAGCCCTTTGCAGGAATTATTTCAATTAATCAAGGATTCTATTAATGTAACAAAGGCTTTATAAAATCCTACCCACATGACTTTTCATCATCATTTTGTGAATTTTTTTTGTTTAAATATCATTGATAGTTATTCCAGGCATGGGTAACGTCTATCCCATTCATTACAGGATATGGGAGGTATATTAGCCCTCTATACCTTCCTATCATTTCCTAAAGATTAGCTGTTGCACAACCAAAAAAGAAAGAAAGAAAGAAAACAGTTTTTGTTTTTAGAAATTTGTATCTGATTCTTGGAAGGGTTGGGATTACTTGTTTTCACTACTCCTTGTATGGCTTTTTGCAATTTGATTGCTGGTTTTTGCCCCAAATGGGAGTCCGAAAGGCTTGGAAGGTTCCCATGCCCACCAAAAGCTCCTAGGTTGCATGCAGTCCTCAAATCACAATTTTCCCTCCTCAATATATTCTATTTGTGACTCATGCTATTCAGGCCTTTGTCTCAGAAATCTTCAAGGGGCTTTAAGCAGCACTGGGAAAAATGTATTTCACAAGATCTGGAAATCTCCTGTCAGTCAGTGGATAAAGATTCTCAACTTCAAGGCCTCCAAATAAGTTGGTCATAAGTTGGAGGAAGGTTAGTGAACACACTACTGATCAGGGATGCAACCATCTAAATATTATTGAACCGTTAATCTCAGTAGCCTTAGCCAGCATAGCTTATGGTGAGACACATTAGAAACAAGAGTCCTACTATTTCCACAGGGCTGTGTGATCCCCCTTTAACCAGAAGGACCATTTTGACCAGATCCCTACATCTGGAACAGATTGATTAGAATAAAACAGCTTAATGTATTTGTACATATATTAAGAAGATCTGGATTTCATTCTTTAAAGATGGGTCTGTTCAGTTTTTAAGTGATACTTTAATAAAAACAACAACAACAACAATCTTTTATTTATATCCTTCCACCATCTCCCAGAGGGACTTGGGGTGGCTCACAAAACACTCAAGGTGTGACATGCAAAATAAAACATTAGTAGAAAATAAACAATCAACACAACATCATAAATTCACAGTATTCCCTGGTAAAAACAATAAAATACAGCAAATGCTATAGATAAAATATCAGTATACAATGTGTTACAAGTATATCATATATGTACATTCTTCTGGTTTCATCCATTTATACCAGTGGCTCTCAACCTGTGGGTCCCCAGATGTTTTGGCTTCCAACTCCCAGAAATCCTAACAGCTGGTAAACTGTCTGGGATTTCTGGGAGTTGTAGGCCAAAACATCTGGGGACCCACAGGTTGAAAACCACTGATTTATACCATTATACTGTTGTTGTTGTTGTTGTTGTTGTTGTTGTTGTTGTCATCTTCTTCTTCTTCAAAACCTCTTTGTTAATTTACTAATTTACTATAGTGTGTCCCCAGGGAAGATATGGCCCTGCCTGTCAGCTAAAATGTATGTGCAAGAATGGTGGTATCTGTGAACCTGCCAATGGGACTTGTACTTGTGGACTTGGCTGGACAGGAAGCTATTGTGAGAAAGGTACTTTTTCTATCCATGTTCCTTCATAGCCTGTAGAGTAGCATTCCCACACACATGTACAATTTTTCATCAGTGTGTGGCAAGATTATACAGATGGCCAAAGGACTCTGAAGTGAAGAGATTGTCACATAAATGAGAGGTCATCAAGACAGCCTCAAACAAAAGGAAGATGTGTTCTTTTGTATTGAAGAAGTCTGGTGCCTCTCCAAACTAGACATCCCAGGATTCCATAGAATTGAGCAATGGTAGATAAAGTGGTATCATATTTTATTAATTCTACAGTGTAGAGCAGTGGTTCTCAACCTGTGGGTCCCCAGATGTTTTGGCCTTCAACTCCCAGAAATCCCAGCCAGTTTACCAGCTGTTTGGATTTTTGGGAGTTGAAGGTCAAAACAACTGGGGACCCACAGGTTAAGAAGCATTGGTGTAGAGTCACCCTAGGAAGCAGCTAATACCAGTGTTGTGTTTTGTTTAACTTTATATGCTTAAAACCTGGGATAGCATTCGTTTTAAAAGACTGGTTTTAAAAGACTGGTTTTTTTTAAAAAAAAATGCTTTAATCTGTTTTTAAGGAATGTATCCATTGCACTTCAGCTTAGGAATCCTGGTGTGCCGAGAGGTGATAAACTCTGGAAATCTGCTTTCAATCATAGTATGTAATACTGACCTACACAGGGCAGTGGTTTAAATCACTACAGTGAAACTTCCTATATTCCTAGAACTTCTGAAAGTGTACTTCTGAAGAAAAGATACAAAATAAAAGTATATGATAGTTCATTACTAGCTGTTTGAAATTCTCCAGAAGGCTGATTCGCTTTTTCCATGTTGTTCTTAGCTGTGTTCTTAGCACATGTTTAATTTCAATGAATACAAACTACCTAGTAGTTAGCAGAATGTAAAGACATAATACATATTTTCACATTTCAGCTATCTTACACACATTTGGAGCAAGAATACCTTGTCTGGTTGTTTTATATAGGTGACTAAGGTTTTCCTAACTTTTTTCCCCTCTCCAGAATGTGCTCTTGGAAAATATGGTTTTGATTGTCGCCTAGATTGTGCTTGTCAGAATAATGGAATTTGCAACAGGTTTACTGGCTGCTGTCAATGTGCGGAAGGTTATTATGGCCATTCCTGTGAGCATAGTAAGTAATCAACCAAGGAACCTAAGGACAGCTGATAAAAGCTCTCCATTGCAAAATCTGTACATGCCGATGACCCTAAATGCTCATTGAAAAGAAAGTGATGCATAGATTCTACTGAAACACTACTTTAAGCATGGCATATGTGTACTTCCTAGCAATGTTCAGGAACTCTTACCCATGTTATAATGTCACTCTGTTATGTTCCTGTTGCTCATGTCATGTCATTGTCTAGCAATGTTAAGAAAAATGCTAAGAGGGATTATTGCATCACATCACCACAGAGTATGTGATCTATTCACTATGGGTAAGAAGATGTAGACTTTACAAAAATGTTTTTTTAGTGTACTGCCAGTTTGTTCTTAGGGTATATAGTGCCTCCCAAAGTGGTAGGGAAAAAGGGAAGCCCTGTGTGTGTTCCCTGTGTTTTTGCAATCTCTACTCCTCTGGTAACATAAGACTACCTTTAAGTATACAATTTCTCTGTTTAGAATGTCACCACAATATGTTCACACATAACATGGTCATTATTCAGTCAGGGGAACACAAAAAATCATTTAAATATGCAACACACATTGAACAGCTACCGATAAAGTGCAGAAAACACTAAGTGATATGTGGGTGCATCTGTGATTTGCAAAGTTTAGATTCTCACCACCAACTTGTCTTCCTAGTCATATAGTTCCTTATCTCATTCTGATGTCTGGGTTTGAGGCTTCCTGGGCTCAAGTGCACTGATTCTGCCTAACAGTTCTATTTAGGAGCAACCATTTCTCTCCAGGACTCAGTGAGGAAAGACATGTTATAGTGGGCCTTGTATTCTAAGACACAGTGGACTGGGTCTTTTAGCATTTCAAATGCATGCTTATTGTAAGGTTACATTTTGTAAAAAATTATGGGTCTTCCAAAAAGAAAGAAGCAACATCTACATAACTCTTTCTTTTCTCAGCCTGTCCTTCAGGATTTTATGGTCTCAACTGCCATAACATCTGCAACTGTAAAAATGCTGCTGTATGCAACACAGCAACTGGGCATTGCATTTGTCCTCCAGGTTTCTATGGTCTACAATGTGAAAAAGGTAAGAACAGCATACCAATGTTATATTTACAGTAGGATCATAGAATCACAGAATCCTAGAGTTGGAAGAGAACTCGTGAGCCATCTAGTCCAACCTCTGCCAAGAAGCAGGAAAATCACATTCAAAACACCCTCGGCAGATGACCATCAAGCCTCTTTTTAAAAGTCTCCAAAGAAGGAGCCTTTACCACATTCCAGGGCAGAGAGTTCCACTACCAAACAGCTCTCACAGTTAGGAAAAGTTCTTCCTAATGTTCACGTGGAATCTCCTATAGTTTGAAGCCACTGCTCTGTGCCCTAGTCTCCAAGACAGCAGGAAACAAACCTGCTCATCCCTATGATTACCGGATATCATGCAGCTGTGGACAAGTCTACATAGGAACCACCAAACGCAGCATTTCCCAAACACGAATCAAGGAACATGAAAGGCACTGCAGACTACTTCAACCAGAGAAATCAGCCATAGCAGAGCACCTGATGAACTAACCTGGACACAGCATTTTATTTGAGAACACAGAAATGCTGGACCACTCTCACAACCACCATGTCAGACTACACAGAGAAGCCATTGAAATACACAAGCATGTGGACAATTTAACAGAAAGGAGGAAGCCATGAAAATGAACAAAATCTGGCTACCAGTATTAAAAAAAACTCTAAAATTACAACAGCACAACAACAGAGAGGAAACAAACAAGGACATCGAATCACCTGTCAACAAAAGTTTTCTCTAGGCACTGTCAGGCCATTATATGCTAATCAAGGTGGTCAGTTGAAACATTCACACCTACCTCCAGCAGACAAAAGTCCTTTGTCTCACCCTCGTCATTCCACAGATATATAAGCCTCTTTTCCTAGTTCCAACAGACCTCACTACCTCAGAGGATGCTTGCCATAGATGCAGGCAAAACTTCAGGAGAGAATGCCTCTAGATCATGGCCATATAGCCCAGAAAAACCTACAACAACCCAGTGATTCTGGCCATGAAAGCCTTCGACAATGCAAGTTTAACTTGTCCACAAGGAGGACTCCAAGGTATTTTTCACACATACTGCTGTCAAGACAGGCATTCCCCATTCTGTATCTTTGCATTTCATTTTTTCTGCCTAAATGGAGTACCTTGCATTTGTAGCTCAAGTTCATTGACATTCTGGGGTGTGGGTTGGAAAACAGTCCTACTCGACAGGTGGCAATATAGTGACCCCACTCTATCCTCAGATTCTGGTGCCCACTGTGGATATAAAATAAAATGCCATATTATTAAGTGGCAATGATGTGAACATGCATGCTTCAGTGTACCCAGGTTAACACTGCCGCCATTTACTAATATGGGGTGTGACCATTCAAGAAATCATGGATAGCATGGATCCAAAACCTCAGTTTTATTAATGTTTTTAATTAAAGCATTTTTATTACAATTGCATTGTCTTTCTTACAACAGAAACATATATTTTATATATAAATGCCCTGTTTTCCAGGTTGTCCTTCTGGGATGTTTGGAGAAAAGTGCCAACATCAGTGTGAGTGTGAAGGTTCATCTCAGTGTGATCCAGTTACTGGAAAATGTTTTTGTCCTCCTGGTACAACCGGAGATAGATGTGATGTTGGTAAGATCAAGGGACAACACTGACAGTTGTGTTCTTCCTGTTTTTACACTCAACTGGTCTAAAACTTGGATGGAACCATAATGGAGTGGTAGAATGAACCTTACCTTTTAAAGCTGCAAGGCATTTTCCCCACATATATTTTTCCATTACTGCAAGGTCTTAAATATAATTTATAGATTACACTGGGCATAAACCCATATGATCACTTGAAATGAACAAGTAAGAAATGTGACCCCCCCAAGTACACAGGTACAGAGGCAGTCTGTTGCTTGGAGGCCCCAAAATCTGCAACCCAGAGTGGAAGGAAAACAGTATGAAAAACTTTTACATGTAGCTGGTGTGAATGAAAACCCTTTGAATTTTGAAAATGTAGATGTTGGTGCCGCCCAAGAGCTAAAAGAAAGGAAATGACTCTCATCCTAGCTTGCACAGACTTGCGGTCAAGATTCCGGCTAACTCCATCTTTCTGTTCTTGTGGTCTGAATGGGGGACCTCACATTACAAGTGAGTAAGGCTACATAAATTCAGAGAGCTTTCTCAGTGATATATCTTCCTTTTGTATTTGTTTGGACAACTGGAAGTCACAAGGGGGAAGCTTAGCACAAAAAATGAGAGTGAAGTTTTCAGTTCCTTGCACACACAAAAAATGCAGTCACTTTTATTTTCTTCTAAACAATCAGTGCAACCCCCAAAGCTTAAAAAGCTGTTATGGGACTGGTTTTATTTGCATTTTTATTTTCAATTAGGCCCAGTTCATCTGTGATATAACCATGAACAGCTGTGACTGTTCAGCAGCTATAAAGATAAAAGGCCTGATTTTAATTTGAACTCTGGTAAAGCATCCATTAAACAACCATAACGTTAATTAAAAAAAACCTAGAGAATATATAGCAGGTTTTTTATTGGGTTGATTTTTCCTCCTCTGCTAAATTAACATTGCAGACTTTCAAGCAGATGTCTAAAATTCACATTGTTATGAACATGAAAATGTGGTTATTACTTAAATTAGAATCAGGCCCAGAGGTGTTTGCGAGACTCTGTCTCATAACATTCCCTTAATTGAAAGAGCTACAATGTCTGAATTGGAATAAAAAAATTCTCCCACACATGGGGGTGGCAATTCTAAGTGGCCAGTGAATCATTCCTCCTAATATAATAGCTCAGGTGCTGGGGAAAAGAAAAGATCTTTTGTGTTTATCGCAATCCAGATGAAAGAAGGTGTGTGTGGTGTTTAGAAAGGGAGGCGTGGAAAAAGAAAGGTGTCTTTAACAAACGCCAAGCATGCTAAATGTAATTGGTATCAAGAAGTTACGAGGTCCAATTCTTGTGTGACTAAAACAGTGTGACAGTCTTTATTTAAGAAATGCATGGATTTTTCCATATCAGCCTGGGGCCCTTTTTGGTTGTGTTCTCAACAACCAAAGAGAGAAGCTCTTCTGGATTTTGGTGACCCCAGGAAGATTCACTGAACTAGGGTTATCTGTTTAGGGTTGTCCCACAGCCAGGCCAAAACCTGAAACCTGGATTCAATGATCCTATTTGTCACTCCACAGAACAAGTTTTCCTGTTGGGAAATTAAGATAGAAATCTTAGTTTTAAGGGGTGTTCTCAAAACAAGAAGAAATGAGATCATCCCTTACTTAGGGAGATGAAGTAAGGAACATTTAGCCTAGATTATTTGTTTCTAGCAAGAAGGTAGATTCAGAACCATAACAACTGGGAAGGAAGAAGCTAGTTAAATAAATATATCAATACATCTCTGGGAGTCTTTTCAAGTTGCAGTCCCTTGCCAATTGTGGATGAACACCTAAACTTTTGTTCAGAGCCCAAAACTGGAGAATTTGCATCCTTTTCTGCCACCTAGAGATAATCTGCAAAACCTGGAGATTCTGGGGCAGGGCCCTTAGATCTTACAACTACTGAAAATCCGTTCTTAGGTCTTAGCAATATCTTTTTAATCCTTTCAGATGCTTTAAAATATCACTTGATCACCTTCAGGCTACCCCCCCCCCCCAATGATGCTGTTATATCATACTGCTAATGCTATAGTATTTCATGTTGTTGTTGTTTTCATTGTTTCCCATGCTAGAGGCAATATTGTTCAAAATTATTTACAAGTTTGTAATGAATTTAGTTTCAGTCCTAATAGGCTCCTGTGAATTAAAGAAGGATTGTGTCACCTTGAAGATTCACGGATTACTGTGACTTGTGGTTTTAATGCAAATCTACCTTATGATACATGAGAAGGCTGAGAGGAGATATGATAGCCATGTATAAATATGTGAGAGGAAGCCACAGGGAAGAGGGAGCAAGCTTGTTTTCTGCTTCCCTGGAGACTAGGACGTGGAACAATGGCTTCAAACTACAAGAGAGGAGATTCCATCTGAACATGAGGAAGAACTTCCTGACTGTGAGAGCCGTTCAGCAGTGGAACTCTCTGCCCCGGAGTGTGGTGGAGGCTCCTTCTTTGGAAGCTTTTAAACAGAGGCTGGATGGCCATCTGTCAGGGGTGATTTGAATGCAATATACCTGCTTCTTGGCAGGGGGTTAGACTGGATGGCCCATGAGGTCTCTTCCAACTCTTTGATTCTATGATTCTATGATTCTATGAGTTGGCAATTTGGAGTATATTTCAGTTTTTTGGAGTATATTTCAGCAATTTGGAGTATATTTCACCTTTTACCTGGACAGCAGCAAATTTGGTTTCAGAGCCACAAATAACATAGAGATAATAAAGACAGCTGTCTACACCAGAAAAAGAAGTCAATTTGTTGTTTTAAATTTTTCTAACATGCACACATAAAATCACAACACCATCTTAAGGAAGCAATATCCAATCACATCTTCTAGAGAGTATTTGGAAGATTTTTCTAAAGAGCATTGTTGTTTATTTGTTCAGTCGCTTCTGACTCTTCGTGACCTCATGGACCACCATACAGCAATGATTTTACTAGCTTCCATTTTGATGGCCAAACTTTTTTAACTTGCTGCTACAAAGTAGCTGGTGAGGCATGCTTATCTGTTCTCCCCTTGTTTTGCTATTCACCAATGTTTAGTAAAAGATTCTGGAGCTAGCTGCTCTTTATTGTCACTTGCAGGTAGACATCTAAAGCAGCGGAGGAATTGGCTGTTATTTCCCATCTCAAGGATTTTTGCAGTATTTAGTACAAACACAGTGCTGCAATACCACACCACAAAACCATTTTTCTGCAGTCCTTCTTCACCATTCTCCCAATGCTGATGCTGATTTTTTTAAAAAAAGGAAACGTTATGCCTAGACATTGGAGGAAAAGGAAAGAGGAGCATCAAAATACTTTGCAAAAAAGGAGCTTCTTTATCAGAAGCTTTATTGGTTGTGGTATGTCTGTATAAGAAGTTATGTTGCTTCATACCAAAATCACTTCTGTCCACACCATCTGCCCCTCCTTCAGAACACAGCTCCTCCAATGCATCTGGAAGGACGACAGGTTGTGGAATGCTTCCTTGCCCTAAAAAACATGTCTATTTTTGAAGTTATTTTCGATATTATATTACCACAGAACATTCCATAGTTCTAAATTGTAATGGAACAAGTTGAAAGAGGCTTTTTTCCGCAAGCCATAAATAATAGCTTTAAAAAACAAAAATCTAATTTATTTCATATTTATGAATAAAGTAGACTCTCTACTAAGGATTCTCTCTCTGTCTTTGAAGTTCTGCAAAACAGAAATACCTTTAAATTTAGTTAACTGATTGACTCAAAGCCAACCAGATCACATGCTTTTAAAATGCTGACTAATTCTATGAGAACAGTCAAATGTGTCTTTGTTTCCTTGTTCTCTTTTGCATTGTTTAAAAAATTCATTTGGGAAAGAAAACAACAGTAAAACGGCAAAATTAAAAACTTGTGATATTTGCTGGACTTTATAACTCTGTGTTTCTGTGTATCCCCTGCAGCATGCAAGCCAAACCAATATGGCACCAACTGCTCCCAGCAATGCCAATGCGCCAACAAATCCCAATGCAATGTGTACAATGGAAGGTGTACTTGTTTCAACAACTGGATGGGACCAACTTGTAAAGAAGGTAAATGTAAGCGCCAACTTTAAACCAGTTTGCTAAACAAAATATGTCAATGTGCCTTTTGCTTTCTTGAAATAGGCTGACCACAAAAAGTATGGAGTCAGATATCCCAGGAACAGACTCTTCTCTAGAAGGGCCAGTCATACCTCCAGTTTCACACACACTCCAAACCAGTTTGAGGAAGATGCTCTATTGTCATATGACAGCTGTCAGAACACGGCTGCTTACTCCCAACCTCAGGCACTACACAAACATGCTAAGAGAAAAGTCATGGCAGCTAAACAGTCTCTTCTATTACTACTCATATTGTTATGTGTGATTCCCCAATATGAAGCGGGGCGGGAGTGGGAAGGCTTCTCTGTCAATAGCCAAAATAGCTGCATGATGTAGAATCCTCTTCATTCTCTTGCCCTTCTACCCATCCCACCTGCTCTATAACACAGCAAAAAATGAGTCTGACTTGGAAAATTTTCTAACTCCACCCCTTTAAATGGAAGCTCTCAAAACTCTTCCTTCAGTCAGAAGAAAATTATTTAAATTACTAGGTCTTTTGTGAATGAAAAATAAAAATTTTTAAGAGTATCTTTATAGTGTCAAAACATCATGTAGAAGAAAGCTGCTGTAAACCGCAATGAGTCGCCGTTTTAACTGCTGTAAACCGCAATGAGTCGCCGTTCTAGGCTGAGATATTAGCGGTATACAAGTGTATCAAATAAATAAATAAATAAAAGCAACAAGGTCAGGGAAATCATAGGTATAAAAATAATTTAGGGGAAAACGCTTTGGTTAGTAGGATAAAACAGCCCCTTATTAAATAGTTACAAAACACAGAGACCATTCCAAAAAGAAAATCAGGTGCAAGAATCAGCATGAACTAACTAACAATGGTTGTAGGAGAGATGGTGGCACTAGCACCTTGGAGATGTACATTTTAAGCTGCAGAAAGATCAGTCTCATTGAGATGCCACCACAAATCCTCTCCACAAATGCAAAATTCAGCACTGAACTGAATACTAAAGGCTGCTGACTGCGTTTTTAAATATTCAAAAACTTTAAAAAATATATATGCTTATTAAAGACCCAAATCCAGTTGTTAGTCCCAACTAGAGTTGGCATATTCAATAAATGTGAACTTGTAAGCCAACAATTATGTGAATTTCACTAGGTGTATTTTGGTTGAGACTAGCAAATGCATTCATGCCAAGGTTAGAGGAAAGACTTCTTCATTGAAGCAAACTTGCTTTCCCATTCACTGAGCCTTCAGATAGTATAAGCATATCAAAGATGCAATGCAAAATTCTGTTGCAGAACCGTACTTGAAAAAGTATGTAGTAAGCATACCAAATTAACTGCCATAAGATAGGGGTAATCACCACTCACAGAGTTTTTAAGAGTATTAGAAAGTTCCTTGATGATAGGTCTCTTGGGAGCTATTTACAATGGAAGCCAAATGAAAGACTGCTTATTCAAAGACAGTATATGTCCAAATGCCAGATACTAGTGACAACTATGGGGGAAGTCTATTACTTTCAGTTGTTTGTGGGCTTCCCAGGTGATCTCTGACTGTTCACTGGTAGAAAAAGAATGCAAAGCTGAAAAACCTCTGATTTAGTGGTTTGAGGCTCTTCTTACATTTAGCACTATACTTGAGAATTTATGGTCTATTAGATTTCCAAAATATTATCTGTCTAATTTGTGTCAAGTCTCACATAATATTTCTAACAGCCTCCTAAGTGTATTTATCTATAATTCTCCAGGTGGCCCTCCAAAACTTCCTTCTTATGAAGAACAAACTCAGGAGAAAGGGAATGCTTTTTCAAGACTGCCACAACAGGAACACTTGGACTAATAAATGAGCTGTTTTATATGCACAGGCGGTATTTAACTCTGGAAATGAGAGCTGCTATTCATTTCAGCCTGAGCGGTACTGAAAAATTCACACTTCTTCATGCAAGTTCACAGTGTCCTGTTAAGTAACTCGGCCCCTTTTAAAACTGTTTAGCTGTGTTCTGTTTATTTATTCTTAACCTCCTGCTTCCTTCTGATTAATCCACTCTCAGTATCATTTCCAAGTGTCACTCCTGTGTTTCTGACCATTGCAAAACACAGAGGGTTTTTCTTCTTTGCCATCATATTGGAGGAATCAGTATTTGAAAGGAAGGATCACAAACTTTTATTTAATACAGAAACTGCACAAGACAAATCAGAATAGTTTTTGGCTTTATGAAGCCAAAGTATTCAAGCTATGTTGGGGGAAGCAGCGTATTTTCAGAACAAATAACCATTGTTTCAACATGAGGAGATAGCTGATAAAATAAATAAACAAAATATTTGTGATACAATTCAGCAAGGGAAATCCACATACAGAAACAGACAAGCAGGAAGTCAGCACATCGCAAGACAAGCAGAAGATTGGCCTGTAGAAACAGACTCCCACCTTCACAAAACAAACATAAATGTGTATATCAGTAAATTAAAATGTTTAAATGTTTACAGTTGAAATTGTATATACATTTACTGGAAAGTATGCCTTAAATCAAGGCTAAGGTACTCGTGTGGTCCTCCAGATGTTGTTGGACTGCAAGTCCCAGCAGCCCAAGACATCCAGCAGTGAGGAATACAGGAGCTTGCAGTTCAGCAATATCAATAACATGATTTCCAGCACTGGCCTAAATCCAGTTTTTCATACCAATGATAAAGTATCCACTGAATCAATAAGTCAATTTGCCAAATGCATACTGACTTCGTGGTTCTACTCTAGTTTGACTTACAGATTAAATTTAAGACAGGGATTGGAAACATTCAGGCCTCCTGATGTGAGAGGACTGCAACTCCCATCAGCCCTAAGAGGCATATCCAGGGATATCTGGAGGTGCTGGGATGTCTGGAGGTCTGTATAGTTCTCTACGTTCTGAGTAAACATGTTATAGGATTTGACACATTGTAAAAATGGTTTTTGATATGAATGGAGATGTATATGAAACTTAAATATTGTAATAAATACGATGAATAAATTTACTAACTGGAGATTAGAAAGAATCATCTTGCTTGAGTAAATAAGTTTTTAAATCTTTCAATGCCATAAACATCCTGCAGTGACAGAATTGTCATTAATTAATATCTTTTGACCGAATATTCCACGGGTTTGGGTCTTACCCAAAGCTATGATTAATTTTTCAGCTTTAGAGCCAATAATCCCTCTCTTAATGTCAATAGACATTAACTATATAATACTTAGTGCTTCACTGACAAAGTATAAAAGAGTCATCCCTTAGTCTCCCACTTTAAGTTCTTTGATGAAACTTGACTGGACCTGGATGATAATTAGTTTCATGGTGTGTATTATCTTCATTTTTTCACCAATTAGAATTTTCAGATAGAAGTCATACCCATAGAATGGTCCAAAATCACAGCAAAAACAAAAAGTAAAGATGATTGGCAGGATGGGGGGGGGGATGGGACTAAAAGTAATAGAATCAGTGCAAACATCACAAAGTTATGAACAATGTTTCAAATCCAGCTGATCTTCCTAGGGGGAAATATTAAACAAAACCATTTAAAAACAGATTAGAAAGGAAGAAAAATTGACATGATTGAAAAGTCCCAAAACCTGCACTATGACAGAATATCTGAAGTGTTATGCACATTTCATTAGACTAGGCTGCAATAGATGCAAAACATAAGGTTCTACCAAGGGAACCTCATGTAACAATGATGCAAGAATAACTGTTGGCCCATTTATAACTGAAAGTGGAACAGCCCAAAATTACGCAGATCCATCTCCAGCACTTGATGTAAAACAAATATCCTTTGCAGTGAAGATAGTAAAGAAAAAGAAAGAACTGAAAGTACAAGTAATCAAGAAATAATAAGTTGGTGAGATGTCATACAGATGCCCAGCTCCCAAACCAATTCTCATATTCCTTGTTAAAGTGTTGAGGTCACAACCATGGATATTTCTTTAAAAGTGACACTTTCCAAGCTAATTTATGTAGTTTGCTATTACTGCCATGCACCTTGAAGTCATTTCTGACTTTCGAATTTCAGACTATCACAGGATTTTCCTGGCAAGATTTGTTCAGAGCAGGCATGTAGCCGGGGGGGGGGGGGCTTGAGGGGCTTCAGCCCCCCCCCCCCCAAATTTTCAGGGTGGTCTGCAAGAAGGCCTTACTGGTACATTATTTAATATGTTATGTTTATTCATATCATGATCTGATCACCATGCTCAATATATCCCATATGCATGGGGGTATTGGGATAATGATACAAAAGGTTTGCTAGGGAAGATCCTCAGGGCCCCCCCTCCCCCCCCCCCGAAACCCCCCCTAAAAAAAATTCAGCCCCCCCCCCCCCGAAACGAAATCCTGGCTACGGGCCTGGTTCAGAGGTGGCTTGCCATTGCCTTCCTCTGACGCTGAGAGTGGCTTGTCCAAGGTCACCCAGTAGGTTTCCATTGTTAACTCCTGGTCTCCCAGAGTTGTAGTTCCACACTCAAAACATTACACTAGGCTGGCATTATAATTTATGTGGTGCAAGTTGTTATTTTCTATTACAATTGGAATTAACCACCAAACCCCAACCTTCATTCTCCTGCCAATAAATCCCTGCTTGGACCACATGGGGGCACATTCTGACAGCATAGCTGACATGGTAAAATCACTTTGTGGATAAACCCATAAGTAATTGGTCATACCTCGATAAATTGGATAAAAGAGTCAGTGGCACTGCCCCAATTCCACGTCTGGTTTCATGGATTCTAACATGAATAAGGGGGGCATCCTCTATTACATGTCACAGTGCTCAGCCACTGTGTTGTTCATTCGTTCAGTCGTCTCCAACTCTTCGTGACCTCATGGACCAGCCCATGCCAGAGCTCCCTGTCGGCCGTCACCACCCCCAGCTCCTTCAAGGTCAGTCCAGTCACTGTAAGATGTATAATATGGCAGCCATAATATCACACAGCAACTCAAATACTGGTTATATCGGTTAAGGCTTATCGAACTTAGAATTCGATCACATATGGAGGGCCACACAGTCTTCAATCCTTCCATATAGAATTGCTTGCTTTTTGCCCACATAGATCATGGGGCCAGCCTTTTTTTTTTTTTTTTTAAAAGCACCTTAGCTATCCTTCTCATGCTTAATGACAACTACTATTTAATGTGTGTGATGTGATGCTATGGGATTGTGAATTCGCTTGTCTTTGTTTCATATTATCAGTTGCTGCAGGTGGTGGGGAATACAATACAATGATTTCACAGTCATTTCAAAGTCATATGTTTCTTTAACAATAATCAAAGTCATTCTGCCCACCCAGAAATATGGCAGTTCTCCTTCAATCTCACTGTTATATAAAAAAAGCAAAATATTACTTTTGATTCAGTTTTAAGTGGAACTGAGACCTTTGTTTAAAATGCTCATGTTTGGGGCAAAGCTCAGCAGAAATTAATTCCAAGCAACAGAGTTACTTATAATGATCTATACCCTTTTTGGTTTAAAAGGAGCTCACATTTCAATAGTAACATTACATTCAAAAATAGTCACTTTATTAATAAAATGAGCAGCATCTACATATTCCTTTATAAGGTTACTTTTACATGAAAGTTTTTTTTTTCAAATTTTATGCCACTATTCTATCTTCACTGTTTCCCCCCTAAGAGAGTAACAAAAGTAAGGAAAAGGAAATGAGCAGAATACAGTTCGCTGGGGTTAGGGGCACAGGACCCCCGTGAAAGTGAAAAACAAAGCTTGATATTTTTATTGTGTTCCTTCTCTATTGGTATTTTATAATTCTCAAAAAATATATCTTTTTAAAAAAATGTTTTACCTGATATTAGACCTCTCTTGGAATTTTTAAGTCTTTCAGCATGACTCTATAGTCAGTTACTATTGAAGGCTGAACATAGAAATCAACAAATGACCAAACCACAAATGTGGAGGGCCAACAGTGTCACTTCTTAAACACAGTAATTAGTGTAATGACAGCAAATGAATCTTAAAATATGGAAAGAAGTAACAGAAATGAATTATAATTTTAAAATAACACATGAGCAGAAGAGAGCATGAAGTTCCTGACTCAACTTTCACAACCATACATTCATGCCTTTCAACTATCTGTATAGGAGCCCCCAGTGGTACAATGGGTTAAACCTTTGTGCCAGCAGGACTGGTTGACCAACAGGTTGGCAGTTCGAATCTAGGGAATGGGGTAAACTCCCATCTGTCGAGCTCTAGCTTCTCGTTCAGGGACATGAGAGAAGCCTCTCACAGGATGGCAAAACATCAATCATCTGGGCATCCCCTGGGCAACATCCTTGCAGACAGCCAATTCTTTCACATTAGAGCAATGTCCTTGCAGAAGTCCTTGCAGAAGGCCAGTTATCTCACACTCAAGTCACTTCTGTCATGAAAAAATCCTGTCTGAATTTGGCAGTGAAAAGTACTATTCCACTTTTCAGCTGTCCCCGTTTTTCCCTCCTCCCCCCACATGTCCCTTTTTCCTCAGCTTACTTCATTTTGCATAAACTAGGTTCAAAATGATTTTTGTTTTAATATCTTTATTGAAAATTTTCAGTTTACATAAAAAATAGGAGTTTCCTGGGGAATGGGAGAGTCTGGAGGAGGAACAGGGAGGGGTATGGGGGGTTGGATAAGGGATGGTAGTAAGGGTAGTTTTTCAGGATAAAGGGATAAGTTGTTTATCCTGAAACAAATTATAAGTTGTTGACTTCCTATCTTCTCATTCCTGGGAAATTTCATCTTCTTTTATCTCTCCTTCTGGTCTTGATCTTCTTGTTGTTCGTTTGAGTGATTATAAATCTTTTTCCTCCTCTTAGTGTTTATGTCCAAATTTAGTTAATAAACTCCAATTTGCTGTTATTTTGATTTGTTTATATCTAAGTTGATGTGTCAAATTATCTATATTTCTGATTTCCAATATTTTGATTAGGTTCAAAATGTAAAAGCAGTTTGCATTTCGTTAGAGTGCTGAGAGAGGAGAGGTAAGGCAGATCCTTTCCCTCCCCAGTAGGCTCAGGAAAAAGCAAACTACCTCTCCTAACTTATACATTCTTCTTCCATAATAACTTTTGCCATTTTGGCCTAATGTTGCTTGGTCACAAAGTTTTCCTCTCTGAAATGCTGGAGGTTATACACATCCAGGTTGCTGCCACTTCCTCAGTTGTCCAGATGTTAGGAATTGAAGTGCTCTGTGAAATTATACATACTTTGTGGTATAGCGGATCCTTTTTGAAGTTTTCCTTCCTGACATAATGTGTATCTCAATATGTCTTTAAAACACCTGTCAGACCGAAACAAACACTGTCTGTGTATTATTCCTGATCAATTTCCATTGTTAAACTGCATCACAGTTCTTATGAATTTTGTAAATATTATGTACTATAAAGATGATAAATGCTGCTACTGTTGCAATCTCAATTTTGAGTTATATATGAGAGAAGAGTGTTGTGGTGAAGGGAAAATACTTTTGGAAAATGTCATACTTTTACAGTGATTTGGCCTTTGGGTTAAATCAATTTTGTAAGGTTTTTTTCTTCTTCATTTGTCTGGATGAAACACCAAAGGAAATTGTGTCACTCAAAATATTGCATAGACATTTAGCCATGAAAAATCTGTCCAGATAGTTATTATACATAGTTTGTTTGCATGGGCGGTATATGATATATAGTTTATATTTCTATAAATGCACCATAAATGTTAACAGACTTGTTTCTATTCTGCTTTATAAAAGTTCAGTATGAATTTTCTTCTAGGAGAGCTTGGCACCACTAGTGAAAATAGTGAAATAAATTATAAATGTGCTTGGATAAAGTCACTTTGCTTTCTGACTAGTTGTGAAAGCCTCTTACAAGAATCAGTGTTGTTGCTGCGGTATGCCTTCAAGTTATTTCCAGTTCAAGGCAACCTCGTCATGGATTTTACTTGTTCAGGGAAGAAGTTGTAAAACCCAGTGTACTAGAGTGCATTCTGAGTTACATACTGTATGATAGAAGTTTCTAGTGCATTGGGTTTCACAGTTGCTATGAAAGTAAGAGAAACATTTCCAAGGAAGGAAATGGGAACTTTTTGTGTAATGTTTAAGTATTGAAGGAAGAAGGGAAAAAAACCACATGAGTAATCCATGTTTCTTTTGGTCTGTAAGCAAACTGTTTAAGTATTAGTTTTAGTTATTTCACATCATTTTAATCTACCCTTAATGGATAATTCAACTTTATCCCAATTATCCATTGGGTATATACAGTATGATCCCCATATCCCATTTCTGAACTTACAGCAGAACCATGGATAATAGCAAACCCTAATGTCTAACAAAATTAATATAGTACAGTGTTTCCAGTGAGAAAGGAGTGACCATTGGATACTTCTATATCATACTTAGGAAATTTCATGATAGGATATCCTTAGCAAGAAATTACTTGATGACACACAACAACACTAGCAGCAGCAGCAACCCACAATGTACACTCTGAATCCACTGTAGATATCGCCATCCCTTTATAATTTCTATAGCAAATGCATTCTGCCCAGTAATTTCAAGTGATTCATGAGACCATGGATCAGACACCTGGAAGAATCATCACCCCTATTTT